CTGTGAAGTGTCTTTGAGCGTTTAGAAAAGTGCTGTATATAACCATTGCATTATTATTATTATTATTATTACTAAATACTGTATCTTCTTAATTGAAATCCTGTGATCTGACCTATCATTGTTTTTGTGTGCGCCTCTGAAAATTGTCCCTTCAAACGGCTCCTTTCCCCAGATTTCCTGCCCCATATAGAAATAATATTATCCGTTGGAGCAGCTCTGAGGAGGCTAATCCATCTTGTGTGTGTGGAAGTGGTTGGCCCCATCTCAAACTCCCTCTGACACAGTTATTAGTTTGTGGAAAGGGCTCTGTACCTCGCTGCACAATGGTCTTATCAGCCAAACTTTGAGCCAAACGTTGAACTTTAGAGCCAGAGTTTCCTGCATGTATGAGGCACAGAACAGAACATTACATAATTTTAGTTTTAATGTAGGACCACTCCTCACTTCTGTCAGAAAAAGCGTTAGAACTTACTATTATTATTACTATTGTTAACAGTATAATCATTTTAGTTTTGGAAGTGTGATAATTCATCTCATACACTGCACAAAATGATAAAATATGTGGTAATAAAAGCTTGAATCGGGTGTATCAGGGCTTAAAGTTTTCCGGCACCGTGCCGGAAATCCGGCGTGAGAAAAAAAAAAAAAAAAAACATCACTTTTATTTTTTTATTTTTTTTTTTAATATATATATAAATAAATAATGATTGCTGTCATTTGAAAAAAGGTTCAAGTGTGTTCTACCAATTGTATGAAAGGATTGCATGTGTATAGCGCAGGGATTAAAGAGTTCCGTCTAAGTGACGGATTTCCGTCAAATAAAATTGGTCTGAAAAAAAAAACAAAATATATAATAATAATATAATACACACAATGAAATGGTTAATTATAACAAAATATATAGTAATACATGTGAATCTGTTGTATATATCTAGATATATATTAATAATTTGAATATAATTGTATTTATATGTATATAGAAATAAAAAGTAACGAGTGGGCCTTGAACGTGCCGTGGCTAGCTACATGAGCGCTCCGTAAATGATTCAAGGCAATGGGACGTAGCCAAGTTAGCGATGGTAACACGGAGGTGAAAGTTTCTGAAAAGTGCACGGAGCTTTTGAAAAGGAGAAGAGGACAAGGAAAATGTAATCCCGAACGGAGCAATAACAGCCAGCAGCCCGCGGACCGGTAAACTGGGCGCGTTATCAGAGGAAAGGTAGGACATAATTAACGTTTACCAAACGCAATGCTTTTTTATTTAACGGAATGTACAATATGTACTTTGCTGTGACTGAGAATGGGGACAAGCATGTCTTGGTGAGCTTTTGATAATATCTTGGTGGCGATCCGCATGCAAAACTGCGTGATAAAAAGAGCCAATCAACGAGAGCGAACGGAAGAAACTCGCTGAAGAAAGGTGTGTGTTAGCAGGTCTTATATTCATTCATCAAAGCTAGCCTAGCATGCACGCACAATCACAATCATGGATCGTTGTTTATGGAAGAAGGAGCTGTATAAGTTGCTGTGGATAACAGTGAAAAATAAATGGAGGTGGGCATGGCTGGATGAGGTGGAGACGATGGGATTCTGTTGCTTCCTGGTGCAAAAAGATGAAGGTGTCCGGTGCTTGTTCGTACTTCGCTATTATTATTTTTTTATATGGGAGTAATGAGAAAACCGCTTTGGATTCACCACCAGCTCAAAACTGCGCACTTGGCAGCTGTCCGTGCACTTTCCCACACTTCTTTACCTGGTGCATCAGATTCAGCGACAACTGAGACTAGGCTGGTGGACTGTGTCTGTGACCTAAAACTAAGAGTCTGTGGCTTTATCGCAGAAAATAACCTGTCGTTCAGAACCATCACTACCGCTGGTAGATTTAATTATCATTAATCATTTGCAGTTGATAAAACTGCGCTGTGCACTAGCACCAAGTTGATAGGGAAACCTTTTTCTTAAACATTGAGTGTCCACAAACAAATGTGGACAGAATTTTGAATGTCCTTTTGCGATATTTTGACGAGGACAGAGCCAAAGGACAACGCCTCATCTCGCCTCAAGTAAAGCCAATGATGCAGATGAACTACTCTCACTAATATTCTGTCAAAGAGTTGACAAGTTGCTTGATCCACTGGTTGTAATTTCACATCAAAATACACCAGTTTAAATGTATATCTTTGAAGAATTCGTTTGATCTGTAATTCATTATATTTCCATGAGAAAATTTTCAGTCAAATCTTTTTTTTTGCTTTAACCCCTGGATGATGTATTTATTGCCAACAACTGATGTTTATAATAAACATCAGTTGTTGGCATTAAATAGATATAAATTATATGTATGAGCGTATAAAGGCGCTTATAAAAAACGCTTATTAGTGATCATTGTATGATTCATATAGATGGTTCAGGCTCAGGAATTTTTTCAACTTTAACCCATGGGTGTATTTTATGTTAATCTGACAATGACTGTGATGAAACCAGATTCTCGTTTTATTTCTAGAACTGTAACTTTACTTTCTCGTTCCAAGTGAGACATTTCTTGAATCCATTAGCAAATCTGGTTTTAAGGCTCAGTCAGATTGTGCTCAAAATAAGATACATTTTGCCAAGTTTGAGAAATGTCTTACTTATTTTTCATCACTTTTTGCCGTGGGTTGGTTCTTGGTCTTCATAAGGTTTTCTGATTCTTTATGTACACTGCAAAAAATGTTGACTCAGGCTTTTAGGTTTTATTTCAGACTTTTTATACATTTTAAACATATAGAAACTCAATGGAAACATGAAGATATAGTTTAAGTTGGGTCAAGTCTGGAATAAAGAAGATTTCAGACGAGAATGACAGAAAAACGTCTGCAAAAAGTTACAAAAATAAGTCCGAAATCTCAAATATGGCAAATAAAGTATCTTCATTTGTGCACATTTTGAGTCAATGTGATTTTCTGATTTTTCTTTTCTCATTTTGTTTCTCTTCAAGCATCTCTCATCTCGCACTATTGGTGACAGACTAAATATGATTTTGCTCCACTCATTTGTATTATTTTTATTTATTTTTGTATTTGTATTTGTATATGTTTTAATATTTTTTTATTGTTTTTATTTTATTTTATTTCAATGTATTTATTTTAAATAAATAAATAATTTATTTAAATTATTATTAAATAAATAAATAAATCAATAATTAAGCTGTCATATTTGTATATTCTAAGGTGTTACATTTATCCGTGCAGCACTTTGGAAACATGTCTTATAAATGTTCTATATAAATAAAGTGGAGTGGGTTCTGGAGGACTTGTTGGAGATGGTTCAAAGTGGGTCAGAGCATCTTTGAAACCAGGCGATCCAAACGAAGGATCATTTGTGATGTCGCACGGTGACGTTTGCTCCAGAAAAAGGACCACGACCATCTCTGAGCTGTTTTTGTTACGGCTGCAGTTTAGGTCACTTACTGTAGAACATCTCCTTATTTCAGGTTAAGTCTCATGACAAAATGATACGTCGCTAATCGCAACAGTGTTCGTCCAGTTGTGGTGCTTTTGTGTGTCGTGTTGTGGCATTTCATTTCACCTTCTCCATCGACTCCCACTGAGCTCTACTGCCGTTGTGTCCTTGGGCAAGACTCTTTGCCCAAAGCCCCCGCTGAAAGATCAAGGCCATGCTCACACTGACAGAGCAGCCGTTCTCCTGTGGACTCAGCACCTGCAGGAGGATCAGTGAGGGGCTGGTGCTCAGTGTACTGGGTGCAGCTCTGACTGCCACCCCCTGACCCAGAAATGGATTAAGGGGAAGAAAATGGATGGATGGATGGATAATTTTATTATACTTTATATGACTTTATTTTATTTTTCATTATTTTATTATTTTATATTATTTTGTTTCATTTTATTTCATACTAATTGAATTATCTATATGTCATTCAATCATTTGTCAGTTTTATTTTAAACCTGCATCATGGTTTGAAAAGGGATTGGATGAAGTAAATTCTTGTTTGATTGTGTTCAGCTGCCACATGCACAAATGTGTTTTTGTCATATTTTTTTTGCCCTGCTGCCATTTTGAAAAAGCCACAGAAGTTAAAAGTGGTGGCACTTTAGTTTCAACGGCGGAGATCTGCGTCACTCCATCTTCAATATTTATGGTTACGAGCCGTGGGTGAGGTTTGTGGAGCAGAGACGAGAAGCATTGATCCAAAACAAAACACAAGCTCTGCAAAAAGAAAAAGGTAAACGTGTGAACAGAAACTTTATTTTATGAACAATAAAGAAAAAAGACAGCAACAAAAACAATGTGGAGCTGTGCAAGACCTAATATTCAAATATTTTCATCTTAAGCTGAATTTGGCTTTTGTTCTTTCTTAAAAGTTGGTCTAGATTCACACATTCCTTCCTCCTGTAGAATCCTGGAGCCCTGGGTTTGATTCTCTGATCCGTTCTTTGTCTCACATTTTAGGAAGACTGTTCCAGATGTTAGCTGCAGGAATCTGAAACGCTGCTTCCTCATTTTTAGAGAGAGAGAGAAAGACAGACAGAGAGAGAGAGAGACAGACAGAGCGAAAAAGAGAGACTGAGAGAGAGAAAGAGAGAAAAAGAGAAAGAAAGAGAGGCAAAGAGAGAGAAACCGAGACAGAGAGAGCGAGACAGAGATGACACAGAGAGATGGAGAGAGACAGTGAGAGAGAGACACACAGAGAGATAGTTTGAGACGAATAGAGTAAGAGAGAGAGAGAGAGACAGAGAGTGAGACAGAGAGAGACAGAGAGAGTGAGACTGAGAGACAGAGAGAGAGTGAGACTGAGAGACAGAGAGAGAGAGAGGCAGAGACAGAGAGAGAGAGAGCGCCGTGGCTGTGTCTTTATAAGAGCGGAGGTGATGCGTGTGGAGGCTCTTCTCCCGTTCTCTCTCACGCACCATGGCACGCGTGCTCTGTGGTCCCGGCGCGCGCTCCCGTGAGTGTCGGTGCGCGCTCCCGTGACCGTCGGGGCTCCTCCAGACGCTCGAAGCATGCGGCTGTTCGCGCTCTCTGCTCTGCTGCTGCTCTGCTCCGGGACAGGTACGCGCCGTTTTACGCACGAGTGTCCTCGGTCCGGGCTCTCGTTACGCACGGGGTTTGGGGGAGAGATGGAGACAGAGAGACGCGGAGCGGAGTCTGGACTGGTTTTACTGGGAGTTTTACCGCTAACAGTGTTGGGGAGTAAATGATATGTCATTACGGATTCACAGTACTCTTTCTGAGTAACTGTATTCCATTACACTTACTACTTTAAAGTATAGTATTTAGATTACAATTACTTTATGAAAAACACAGGAATACATACTGTATCACGTTATACTTATGTAAAAGTATAACGGAGGATTTCCCCAAATTTTAGGAAAGACCACTCTCTGTTCTTATTTGTCGAGCGCGTATCACCAGAAAGATTGACTTTCGGAGGACCAATAGTCTTGATGATCCACGCGGACGTAGAAAATCCTCCTATATACCTTTGAAGTGAAGATTCTATTTTCTCTGGCTGTTAAAGCTGTTGAAGAACTTTGACTGTTTTGCAACAACAACAAAAATCTAATAATTACAAGTTTTATTGATCTAAATATTTGTTGAAATTGTGGTTTGAAATATTTTGAAATTGACCTTATACAAGTTTTGTAAATAAACATACATTTTCACAGTAAATATAAATTGATAATTACAAAAGTAATAACTAAAAGTATAAACACGTACTGTATTTGGAAAATATAGGTACTACTTTCCCAAGTAGCAGTACTGTACTTAATACATTTAGTGTTCAGTATTCTCCCCAACACTGACCTCTAAACAGGTGAGTAATTTGGATAATCACATGGGAACTATAGCCTCCTAATGGTGCGGGAGGCAGCCAGACAGTCTTCCTGAAAATGTGAGACAGGCTTCTAACTCTGACCATGTTCAAACTCAAACAATTCTGTTCAACTAAAGGACAGTATCTTCACTTTGTTTCGTTTATGTTTTTAATACCTTCCAATAAGCATGATCTAAATGGTTGCTTTTAACGTCCGGTGTGATAGTGTGATTCCAGCAGCTGTGACTTGTAGTGGCTTTCAATTCTATGTGTTTGTGTACAGCAGTCGTCCCGAGAGGACTTCCCAAAGTTGTCGATTCCTCAACAACAGATCAGAGAATCAAACACAGGAGATGTAGTAATAACACATAGTGGCCATTAGGGAGCAGATGACCAATGTCCATAAATGTTTATATACAGGTAGATGTCTAAGATTGTCTCTGTCCTTAGACCCTTCTGCAGTGTCTCATTCTTTCTGACATTAAAATCGATACAACAGGGGTTCAATTTGCAAATTATTTCTCTACCATTCATGAAAAATCTTTGGAATTGGAGGATTTTATTTACATTCAAGTATTTTAGTGTTTTGAAGAAGGAGAGGCTGGGATGCAGTTAGAAGCAGTGCTCTTCTGACGGAGCAAGCAGAATGTCTGTAAGGAAAAGAGTCAGAGGCACTCGGAAAGATGCAAAACGTGTCTCAGTTTAATACACCAACGCGTTTCAATCAGTGGGGCGGGTCCCGGCTCCAAAAGGTTCATGAGCAGGTGCGCTGACATTCTGCAATCTCATTCAAAATTACAAAATTATCCAATGCTTTTTTATAGCGTCTTCTTTCTTCTGAAAACCTCTTTACATGATGGTCCAAAAGTGGCTCTTGGTCCAACGCTTTACGTTCCAGATGTTGTCGATGCTGAAGGGAATATTTTTTTTTCCGGACCAGTCTAGTTTAGCCGCCGTGGACTTTTGAATGCACTTGTGAAATGAATGAGGCTAGTGCAGCAAACGCATGCGCAAATGGGGTGTTTTACATTTTCACAAAATCTCATCTTCAGAACGATTTAATTCTAAAATATGAACTGTTGAATTAAAAGGATAAGCATTAGGTTCACAAATCAGATTCTGAGTTGTTATCCTGAAATTACAACATATACTTTTGTTTGTGTGAAAATGACAAAGGCTATTAAAATGTAACTAATAACACACAAGCTGCATGTTCTTTTTCTCAAATGAAGGAATAATTGTAGAAAGGTCCAGCTTGCAGAGGTCCGGCAGTGTGTTTTACTATGGTTTTGGAATATCAATGCAAGTTAATTAAATCTACATGGATCTCTGAATACGTGGGTTGTAATGCAGCCCGCGAAAATTCAATTTGGTAGACGTTAACCAAATTTACCCCCTCCAGGCCGGCTCTCATCCCCAGCCTATCGCTCAGCAGACGCCCCCTTCCAATCATCTGTACCGACTCGCAGCCGCATAAAAACGGAGCAACTCCCACTACCGGCCTCCTGAAGCCTCGCAAGCTCCTGAAGCCTCGCAAAGAATCGTTCTGGAGGAATCGCTTTTGTCTACTCACGCTTACTCGTGCGTGTCCCTGCTGTCCTCTGTCTTGCTGCGTGTGGTCTGCTCCTCCTGTGGCTGCACCGGCTGCGGGTCTCGTGCTGTGGTCCGTGGGTCTTTGCCGCTCTCCTCCTTTGCGGGCTCTTTCCGCGGGTTTGCCGCTGCTCGTCTCGTCGCGGCCTGCTGCTGCGTACGGCCGGTCTGGCCCGGTGCGGTGGGAGCCGTGCGCATCCCTGCCTCCTTGTGCCGGTACGATGTGGTCCCGTCGTGTGGTCCCTTGTCTTCTGGCGCTGTGGGTAAGTATGAGATCTGCGCACGGTTTATTCCCCTCGCTTTGTACCGCAGGCTCAGTTGGCCCCGTGCTGGTGGGCAGGCTTCAGTTTAAAGCCCTCGCATTGGTCTGCAGGCTCTCTTTAACCAAGCTCCGTTAAATCTTCACTCTGACTGCAAGCTCCGTTTAATCCCTCACATTGGACTGCAAGACCTCAGTTTTAATCCCTCTCATTGGACCGCATGCTCTCAGTTTTAATCCCTCACTTTGGCCTGCAGGCTCTGTTTAAATCCCTCTCTGGACTGCAAGCGCTGTTTAAATCCCTCACATTGGACCGCATGCTCTCAGTTTTAATCCCTCACTTTGGCCTGCAGGCTCTGTTTAAATCCCTCCCTGGACTACGAGCTCTGTTTAAATCCCTCTCTTTGGACTGCAAGCGCTGTTTAAATCTCTCTCGGACTGCGGCTCCCAAAATGAATCCCTTACATTGGTCTGTGAGCTCTCAGGTTAATCCCTCACGGAACTGCTTATATCTGGAAATGCCTATATCTGGAAATGCTTATATCTGGAAATGCTATAGCCGGAAAGGCTTATATCTGTACTACTTATATCTGGAACTGTTGTACCGTATCTGGAACTGCTTCATATGGAACTGCTTATATATGGAACCGCTATATTGGAACTGCTCATATGGTACGGTTATACCTGGAACTGTTATGCAGTACATGGAACTGCATATATGGTACTGCCTATATCTGGAACGCTATATTTTAAAAATAAATAAATGAATAAATAAATACGTATAAATAAATATAAATAAACATAAATAAATAAATAAATGAATAAAATAAAATAAAAAAAAAGTGTAAACTCCTCACTTGGACTGCGGGCTCAGTCAATCCCTCACTTGGACCGTAAAACCTGTTAAATCATTTGGACCGTAAAAAAACCTGTTGAAATCCCTCACACTGAACAGCTACAACAACATTCTACTGCCGTGGCTTTGATACAGGATCATTGCTGTTATTATCTACGGACGCTGCAGCTGCTGCTGCTGCTGCTGCTGCTGCTGCTGCTGCTGCTGCTACTGCTGCTGCTGCTTCATACGGCTACTACTGCTGCTGCTGCTGCTCCATACTGCTACTGCGCTACTACTGCTGCTTCATTTACTTGCCATCTCTCTTCACTTGCATCTCTTTTACTGAAACACTGAGCAGCTACGACAACATTCTACTGCTGTGGCTTGATACAGGATTATTACTGTAATCTCTAAGGATGCTGCTACTGCTGCTGCTGCTGCTGCTGCTGCCGCGGCTTGATACAGGTTATCGCGTTATTATCTGAGGTACTGCTGCTGCCGCTGCTGCTACCGCTACTGCTGCAACCCACTCTCTCAGAAGCTTATCCTGTTTCTAATGGATGCTGCCCGGCTAGTATGCCGCGCCGCGCTGGCCTCGTACCTATGCTCCCAGGGTCGCTTCGGCGGTCATGCTTCATCTCTCTACCTAATCTTCTGATTCTATCAGCTGCAGCCGGCCGAGTAGCTGCGCTGAGCCGTCAATCGGACTCCTAATCAAAGGCATCCATACCTGTATTCTTCACTCTTCTGATCGCAGGCTCCCCCATCGTGCTGCCCATCCTGCAGCGGCTCTGAGCGGCACTGAACTCTGGCTCGTCTTCCAAGTACATGTCTGCCCTCCTCGCAGCATCTTCCTGCTCGCCTTCTATGACTTCTCTGCATAAGCGTCCACTACTGCTCGCTCAACCTTCATGCGGTCCGAGACGCGGCTTCCCGACCATCCTACCATCCTGATTATCTACTCTCCGACCCAAGATTCTAAGCGTAAGGGCGCCTGCAACATCAATGGCCCTCTCCGACATGTCTCTGCCCCTACAGGTCTCCGCTTCTACACGGATGTGCCCCTTCCGTGGGTTTTGGGGGATTCTTCCAGGACCATTGGGTTGCCGGGCCGTGGCCGCTACTTCCACCAGAGCATCTCCTCTGCCCTACACGAGATATTCCCAGTGGTCGTGGCCTGCGCGCCGTGGAATCACACGTGGCAGAGAAAGAGGATCTCTGTCATGCGCGATAATCTCGACGTAGTGGAAGCATCACACAAAGGTCGCTCTTTTTCACCCAACATAACGTCCCCTGACCCTTTCAACCTTCATCTCAAACATTCAAAGACCAAGGCGCCTGCAACATAATAATAGCTCGCTCCGACACATCTCTCTCCAGACAACCTTCCCATGACAGCAACCTGGTTCAGAGCTCAACTAAGATCCCTACTGCTCCTCTGCAATGTCTCCCCAGCTCTATACAGCCCACTCCTTCAGGATAGGCGCTGCCACGCGCGCGGCCTCGCTGGGGCTCCCCCACCTCTCCAACAGCTGGGGCGCTGGTCCTCTTCGGCTTTCTCCGCCTACATCAGCCCAGACGCGTCCGCCATCCTGGCTGCACAACGCCTACTGGCTTCCTCGCAAGCTCCCAGCAAAGCAATACGAAGCAAAGTAAGTGAAGCAATAAGATTCTGGTGGCGGCACGCACTTCTCAAACACTCTCCGCTGCCGCAGCGTCTGACGGAACGTGATGCGAACGCTCACGTTCCCAGCGCGCAAAAATAACCCACGATGCATTACACTCGCCTCCGCTCTCGGAAAGGAGATCTCAACGGACCGTTATTTCTCACCCCCGATCACCTCCCAACGTCATCCAACGGGTTCAGAGCCCAACTAAAGTCCGTACTGCTGCTTTGTAACCTGTCTCCCCATCTCTACGCAGCTCACTCCTTCCGGATAGGCGCCACCAGCAGCCGAGTATCCGCAAGTATTATCACAGTAGATAGCGGTCACAGCATATAGCGATAGCGGTCACAGCATATAGCGATAGCGGTCACAGCATATAGCGATAGCGGTCACAGCATATAGCGATAGCGGTCACAGCATATAGCAAAAAATGGTTAGCAGCATTGCGCTGGCGGTCACAGCATAGCGATAGCGGTCACAGCATAGCGATAGCGGTCACAGCATAGCGATAGCGGTCACAGCATAGCGATAGCGGTCACAGCATATAGTGATAGCGGTCACAGCATATAGTGATAGCGGTCACAGCATATAGTGATAGCGGTCACAGCATATAGCGATAGCGGTCACAGCATAGCGATAGCGGTCACAGCATAGCGATAGCGGTCACAGCTTAGCGATAGCGGTCACAGAATAGAGTAGTCACGACGTCTGTCCCCTCCAAACCAGGCTTCGAAAACTCCATCAACACGCAGCCTTTTTGGGGATTGTGCGCGCTCATCGCAGGAGCCTTTCCGATCCGAAGGCCGCACCGGGACCTAGGGCGCCAAACCTCCTTTCATAAAATACTCAACTTCCTGTTTCTCGTCTCTCCAAATTGAAATGCAGCCCGCGAAAATTCAATTTGGTAGACGTTAACCAAATTTACCCCCTCCAGGCCGGCTCTCATCCCCAGCTTATCGCTCAGCAGACGCCCCCTTCCAATCATCTGTACCGACTCGCAGCCGCATAAAAACGGAGCAACTCCCACTACCGGCCTCTGAAGCCTTGCAACCACCGCCTCCCCTCCACCTCCTCTTCACCCTGCCTCCAACCTGCCTTCAATTTTCTTCCCGCTGCCAAATGCCGCCACCAGTGCCTAGGTCCCGGGGGATTGTGCGCGCTCATCGCAGGAGCCTTTCCGATCCGAAGGCCGCACCGGGACCTAGGGCGCCAAACCTCCTTTCATAAAATACTCAACTTCCTGTTTCTCGTCTCTCCAAATTGAAATCTATTGTTGGTGTAGTTTTTGGTTTCAGATATCACAGTACTCTCCTGTAGTGAGTCAATACTGAAATTAAATGTCTCATTTTTGATCTGTTTACATTTTACAAAGGCGCTGTATATAAAGGTACAGATTACAAAGGCAGTATAAAAAAGGCAGTACATAAAGGCGCAGTATATAAAGGCACAGTATACAAAGGCAGTATATAAAGGCACAGTATATAAAGGCAGTATATAAAGGCACAGTATATAAAGGCAGTATATAAAGGCACAGTATATATGGCAGTATTTAAAGGCACAGTATATAAAGGCAGTATATAAAGGCACAGTATATAAAGTCAGTATATAAAGGCACAGTATATATGGCAGTATTTAAAGGCACAGTATATAAAGGCAGTATATAAAGGCACAGTATATAAAGGCAGTATTCTGAACAGACTTTCTAATCATATAAAAACACATCTTTATTGATTTACTAGATGTATTTCAAACATGCGACTGTAAACACATGTTATCATCAAAGCTCTGGTGTATGTATCATTTATCTTTGATCTCTTTCTCACTCTGTAGCCAGACTACAGCCTAAAACAAACAGAACTAATTAGCTTTCAAACCAAGCCATTTTCATCATTCTTTATATTGAACACTGCTTTGAAACCAGATATCTGTTTTATATAGTAAATGTTGCCACGTGTTGTATGTCCATTCTCTCATGTTGTAATTCTAAGTAAGTAAATGTTGTGTTTGAATGAAGGTTCTCATGCTGCGGTTCTGTTTCAGGGCGGACTCTGCAGATCCAGTGCTATCAGTGTGAAATGACCCAGGACTGCGCTGCTCCAGAGTTCATCGTTAACTGCACCGTGAACGTTCAAGACATGTGTCAGAAAGAAGTGCTCGTTATGGACGATGGTGAGAACGCGTTTTACAATACAATGCAGTTTATTCTTGTATAGCTCTAAATCCCTAAAGCCCTGAATGTCTCTGTGTGAAAACTGTGTGGGAAGAAAACCTTTTACTCACTGCTCACACCAGGCCAGAGTAAATACAGCCCTCTGTGTTGTATGGGGTGCCCTGCCTTGCTAATAATGTAGTCTGAGATCATAAGTTCACAGTGTCATGAGGCCAACTTCAGCTCTGTATAGGAACGATACCTATCATTGTGAGTTTAGAACCTCTAGGACCAACCTGGCCAAAGCCATCTGTAAACTCCGGCCCATTATCATTTCCTACTTGTACGTCTGGGTCTGATCCTAGTGGCTGCAGTTTTCCTCGGTTGTTAGCTCTACCTCATGGGCTCTGTTAGTGGCAAAGGAGATGGCTAAAGCTAGGCTAAATGCTAAGGCTATTTCTAAATGCTAAATGCCTCACTCAGATCCAATCGTTTCAATCTGCAAAAGGAAATCCTGGCGTTAGTATGAAACCAAATGAGTACGATAGTGTGGTCAGACCAGGCTAGTTCAGTCCTAGTTTTGTACTGGTTTGGTATGTACCTATGAATAGTAACTGAATTAGATGTGATCGGTATATTCGCTCCAATCCCAAACTCTCTTAAAAGTGGTGATGCGTTGTACAAGTATTTGGACTGGAGGACATGGCCATCCAAAAGAATCTGGCCTTGTGGAAAATGAATTGAAGAGCCCTGAGCTCGGGGTTTCACAAAGTCCATCAGTACTCAGTCTGTATGCAGCGGCCTTTGCACCATTTAACCAGGCATCTCTTTAGCTTGCTCTGATTGGATATTACATTTGTTTACACTGATAACAATACATTTATAATCCAGTGAGGAGGAGATTGCAAAGTCCAGCAGGGAGTTTGGATTAGACTCTTGTTGGAAGTACAACCTTGAGTGCTTTTGAGATCGAGCTTTTTAAATCCACTTATGGGACATTGGTCTGGTTTGGATTTTTCTTTAAAATGTTTGTTGTTCTTATGCATCTCAACTCATGACTGAGACTGGATCCAGCTTGGACTTGATTAGGACTGAACGCCAAGAGCACGGGTTTATTCAATGCAAGAATACATCTGAGCGGATTGGGTATTTTTAGGGCTCAGAATGTATATTAGTTATTTTAGTTCAATCTTAAATTATTAGACTAATAAGCTGATCACTAGCCTTCAGAGGTATGGATTTGAGTGAGTTTGATGACTTTAGACTAACTTGACAAAATATAAAAAGACTTGCAACTCGACTTGGACTTGGACATCAATAACTCTGACTTTCACTTGGACTTGTGCCTATCGAATTGAAAAGACTTGCTACTTCCCATTTAAAACCCAAAGATAAAAGTATGTTGACACGGACTGCTCTATCTCTGTTTGTGTTTTCACCTGTGTTTTCACCTGTGTTTGCACCTGTGTTTGCACCTGTGTTTGCACCTGTGTTTTCACCTGTGTTTGCACCTGTGTTTTCACCTGTGTTTGCGCAAGGACTCGCAAGTCAAACCGTAGGACTTGGGACGTGCCTGTTTTGACTCGGGACTCAACATGGAACTTGCCTATCTTGACTTGGGACTTGAGACTTGTTGGCCTTTGACTCGAGACTTGGCTTGGGTCTTGCCTGTGTTTTTGGGACTCGCCCGTCTTGACTTAGGACTCGCCTGTCCCTACTCAGGACTTGCTTGTCTTGACTCGGGTCTTGACTCGGGTCTTGACTCGGGTCTTGACTCGGGTCTTGACTCGGGTCTTGACTCGGGTCTTGACTCGGGTCTTGACTCGGGTCTTGACTCGGGTCTTGACTCGGGACGTGTCTGTCTTGACCTGAGACTTGCCGGTATTGACTTGGGACTTGAGACGTGTTGGTCCTTGACTTGGGACTTGACTTTGGTGTTGAGGGAAATAAAGTGAGACTAACTTGCCAAACATTGACTTTGTCGCACCTCTGCTCATCTGCCATAAAAACAAGAAAGGATCTGATCTGTGAGGGGTGGGATGAGACACGTTCCCACACAACATGACACAACATGGGTTTAATGTATATGTTCTGCTATTTGCAGCCAATTCCTAACTACTTAACCATTGAAAGAAAACAAAACATATGTGTTTTGCATGTATAATTGTCTACATTTATCATTTATCAACATGAGGCATTTTTCACCATAAATTATGTGGAAAAAATGTATGTTTTTACTTTCAAAATGATCCCAGGAGGCGAGAGAATCCTTCACATATCATAGCTGGGAGAGGGGCCAGGTGCCGGTAGTGAGAGGACTGAGGGGAGAGCGATGGCGGTGTGCATATGTGATGATATAAATTACACAAACATGAAAAAAGCTTTGGGTGTAAATGACCAGGGAAGTGTAACCTAAAAACCAAAACAGTTTTTTTTAGGTTACTTTGTCTTTTAGGAAAATATGCCACTATGAGGATTTTTAATGGAATAATCTGTTTCTGTGTTTTATTCATGCATCTAAAACTTGCACTGATAAAGAATCTATGAGAAAAAGGGCAGGAGATTGTTGCTGTGAAAACAAATGTGCTGCTTGGTCATTATGGGACCTCTAGTGTGGATGTAAGAGTGATAAACAGTCTCCGGTCTCCATCTGTGCACGAGGGCAGCAGCTGGACTTTATGAGCGTCCAGACCTGGAAACACATCACTGATGTTGTTTAACAGCAGGGAGTATAACGGCTGACGCTTTCTCGTACATTTACTGACGTTTAGGATGAAAAATGTCAGATTTGTGTTTCTACTTTAACGTAGATCCAATTACATAAACAGAGACTTTTATTTCTGAGGCTTTTAAACATGTTACATCCTTGTCCTCACAGTCAACTCAACACAATTCACTGTATTTCTGTACTTTTGTAAAAGCAATAATAACAGTAATACATTAAAAAGAGTAATTGGTAGCTTGGTTTTAGCCATTGGTAAACTCTGGTCCATAATGATGATTATGGAAATCATTCCATACGTCTGGGTCTGATCCTAGTGGCTGTAGATGTTGTAGGGAGGTGTTGTGACGTTAAAAGTTTGCGCTGAATTTGCTGATTGTTGTTTGGCAATGGCGGCAAATGCGATAGTAAAGTAATCTGTTCTGGTTTGTCTCCAAATATCAAGAAATTGAAGCTGTAAGAGGAATGTTTAGAAAATGTTATTTCTGCAAATATGTTGTGGCGCTACTCCCCATGGGCTCCGTTAGTGGCAAAGGAGATGGCTAAAGCTAGGCTAAATGCTAAAGCTAGGCTAAATGCTAGATGCCTCACTCGGGCACATTACATATGTAAAGTCAGATCCAATGGTTTCAATCTGCAAAAGGCAATAATTGTCGGTATCAGAAAAAGATCCGCGTTTCGCGGTTTGCACGTGTTCAGTAAGATTTCAAGAGCTGCTAGAAAATCATTTACCACAAAGAATCTCATTTGATGTTTGAGAAGAAGGAGGCGGTGACAGCGACTGCATGAAACTTGAAGAAACACAGAAAACTGAAGCTGAAACATCACTCCTCTCTCTTCCCTCGTCTCAGACCTAGATCCATGAATCTAACTCACTCGGATTTAGACACCGCTAGTTATTAGCGTTATTTGACAGCTCCGTTAAGTATCTAAAGGACCCTGCTGCGCACATAGCCGCCGTCGTGCTTGCCTGTTTACAATTTTCTTATGGTGAAAATTTGACATGTACTGTAATAAAGTACTTTTGAAATAAAAAATCATGGCGGCCCATTTTCTGCTCGGAAAAGTAGACGGAAAATTCTCATCCCTGAACATACATACAGTATATATAAATAACAGAAAGAACAAACATTGACCAAAAATCTGCCAAACATCGGCCAAGTTTTCATGTTACACTGAGGTATCGACCCAAAATATGTATCCCAGTGGAAACTTAAAATGTATCTCTCATACATTACATACTTATTTATTGTTTTTTTTATCTATCCATTGTTCTTCGACAGCAAAGAGAGTTCTTCCTGGGATCCAAATTCACGTTCACGCACCATCTTGTGGCCATAATGATCATATGGCTGTATTATTTGGAAAGAATAGGCTGAATATGGTTCTTTTTGTCTTGCGTGTCCATTGGCTATTGTCAGAGCTTATGAGTTTGAGCTGCTTCGCTGATCTCCACACAGCTGTAATAAAGGCGCTCACAGATCTGGAGACACATCACTAGCACTCACCATTTCACCAGTTTGTGAGCAGAAAATCTTGGCTGTTTGGTTTCATAGCGTTGCCAAAGATGTGGCTTCATTTGAATGCTGCTGCGGTGCTTGTGGATGCAGAGTCAGGAAGTCAATTTACCTCTTGATTCGCCTCCTGCTCCGTCACCTGAGCGAGGATCTGTGAGAGAAGAGGAGCAAATATCGCCCAAAGTGATGAATTTCATTATTAATAATTGTTTTTTCAAGGAGTGTCCTTTCAGATGAAAAAAGTTTGTTCCTCTGTGTGTGTGTGTGTTCATGAGTGTCCGTGTGTGTATATGCATGCAAAGTGTGTGTGTGTGTGTGTGTCAGTGTTAATTTTGTTTTAGTCTTAGTCTTTTGACAAAAATCTTTTTTTGTTTCTGTCACAATATCAGTTGACAAATGTATACAACTTATTTTCTGAAACATGTTGCTTATGACGTTTGTATAAATAGGACATCTTTGTACAAATATGTAGAGTTTTTGCTTGTAGCCTACGATGACAACAAGTGACACAAGAAGCTTCATTACTTTACTTTACATTATTGCTTGTGTCACATGAATGTTACACGGACATTGAACCAATCTTGTTTTTAAGTGTTGGTTTTCCCAAAGGCTTCCATACAACGGTTGTGTTACCGTCAGACTCTAAAGGTCGTCCTCTCGTCCACACATTATCAGCTCTGTTTTCAGACCAAATTAGCGTTTCATTTTCCCTCTGAATCTGCTCCAAAAAAGCAATAAACATAGTCTTTGTGCCGCTCTGTGATCCAAAGGCCAGTTCAAA